AATTGGGGAAATCGAGGAGCACACCAAACGTGTTATTCACCTCTCCAAGATTCTGAAATCTCTCATCAAGTGAAGAGATTGCAGTATCCACGACCACATTAAAAAATGTGGTTTCCATTTTTCGTAGTGCATCTTGTATGGGCTCATCTGGAGACTCATAGCCAAAGTGCCTTTTTGTGGTTCTCAAACGCTTTTGTTTGAGTTCAGCCTCCACATTCATCTCTTCACACATCTTCTTTGCAATTGTCTGTGCATCAGAAAATCCAGTGTTTCTGTAACTGGTGAGGGAATCTCTGGTTTTCTTCAGCAAGTCGACAGCCACATCAAGCTGCGTGGAGGGTGACTGCATCAGTTTACTGACATGCTGGATCTTGCTGAGAATGTCATACCATATGGCTGTACAAATGCAAAAGCGATAGGATCTAATCTCCTCAGCCAAAGACTGGGCTTCAACTCTCACCACAGGGTCTGCAGTTTTTTCCCTCACCTCCAGAAGAGCCTCTCTGACTTGCCCAGCCTGATACCTTACTGCCTCAATGCTTTTTATCCTGCTTTCCCATCTGGTCTCAGCCCATGATTTCAGAGTGATTTTCACATATTTCAAGAGGACATCCCACCTATGGGTGGAGGCTGAGAAGAGCTTGAATAACTTTGTCAAATGCCCAAAGTAACCAAGGGCATCTGGTGAGCTTTTTGCAGCATCAGCTACTACCAGATTTAAAGTGTGGGCACCACATGGGACATACAAAGCTCTTGAGTTCAACTGAAGCAACTTTGCCTGAACACCTTTATTTTTTCCCTTCATATTGGCGCCGTTGTCATAGGACTGGCCTCTGCAGTCCTTAAATGGGATATTAAGTTCCTCTAGCCTTTTTAGGATTAGAGATGACAAATGTTCTCCTGTTGACTGCTCTGCCACAAGAAAGCCCAAGAAATGCTCTTTTACTTGAGGAATGTCTTCTTGTGACACTATCCTGACTATGACAGAGAGCTGTTCCTTATGACTCAGATCAGGGGTGCAGTCTAAAATGATGGAGAAATATTTGGATATTTTGATCTCTGTCCCAATGTGTTCTATTATTTTAGAACTGATGGAGTCTATCAGTTCATTTTGGATTGTTTTGCCAAGATAATGTACATGACTGCCAGCTCCACTTTCCACCCTACTGACATGCTGCTTCATCACTGGATCAAATTTGGCCATAAGCTCCACCTCTTTCAGGAAATTTCCATTGTCTGGTTTATTTAATGTGTCTGTGGAACCCCTAAAAGCCATGTTTCTTTCAGCTAAGGACTGAATTATTGCCACCAATCGATGTAGAACGTCACGCCACCTTTTTCTCTCAGCCTCAGCAAGTGCCATCTCTTGTTTATCTATTGTGAGCCCTTTTGCAAAACGGACCTCCAAGTCCTTCCATGTTGCCAGGTGAGCATTATGCTCCTGACTATCCTCATGGACCTTGAGCAAGTGACTTGTGTTTTTCCAGTCCTTAAGTCCTTCCCTGTTCAGTTTGTACTCTTTAGAAAAAAAGTTTGCAGCACAAGCAGTTCAAGCTACCATCTTTTTTAGAGTACATAAGCTTCTTCTGACTTTTTCTCCATTGACTAAGACTCTGTTAAAATAGTCATGTTGACACCTTCGACCGTCCTTTTGTTTAGGGAATGTGAAGCTATTTTCTATTTGAAATGGACCACTGTGAACCAACTCTGTTCGTACCTTATCAGTTAGAGGAGATGGCCAGTCAGCCGGGTCTATTGGAGCAACAGAAGGAGGAGCGCTTGATGCTGCTGCTGCATCACTGCTAGGTTGTGCTGCTGAGGTGGAGG